TGAAGAACTGCAAACTTGCATGCAAACTACTTCTGTTTTATTTAAAGCTGAGGCCTTCAGTCAGTACTTGAAAAGCCTGGCTTCTGCTCCCATTGGCTTCCCTGGGATTTGGATCCAGCCCAAAGTACGGCGGGAAGGTAGGGGAAGCGATCTAGGTTTAATTGTCTATTCTGTTCAGAGCCTTGTGTTACGGGGTTAGGATAACACGGCGCTGTGATGAATGTTCATCTGTCAAGAGTTCAAAATCCGCTGTATATGCGTGGCAGTAATTAAATCACCTTAATTGTTTCTCATGATTCTTTTTTTTAAGAGAGGGAAAATTACTTGTCTTGGATTAGCATATTGCCAAAGACTGGTATAAATATTTATGGGGTGCACTCTTTCAGTAGAAAGCCTGTACATTCTTCACAGGTCTCCATAGTTCTCTGACTCTGAACACAGAACAGTAGTCATTTAAATGCACTACTTACCATCGCTTCCCCCTCCTGTAAAGCTTCGGTAGATATTGGGCTTCACAGTAAAAAAGGTAAGTAGTTTAGAAAGAAGCATCTCTTGCAACACATTGATGATGTTTAATTTCCTATGCGAGCTGCAGAATCCTTTGAAGGTGCATGTGTTTGTGAAACAGGTTTGAGACTTCTATTTTTTTCCTTTTACAGTTGTAGAAAATACACAGAGTTGGAAGAATTATTGGCTTCTCTCTCCTTTTTCCTGCTTCCACATTAAGGGCTCGTGGACTATTCTTATATTCTAAAATACTGAAAAAAGTAAGAATGTAAGCTCTCAGTAAAAGAGCTACACACCTTCCTTCTTTTTTTATAAAAAGGTCATCGAGCAAAAGATTCCTAACAGTATGAAATAATTATGCCTGTGTTAAGAACTGTGGAACAAAGTGAACAGTATACTCCTCACTTGAATAATGCCAGGATTTCACTGTAGATCATGATGGAAAACTCAGGAAAACAGTCGGCACAGAGCTCTTTCCTGACTCTGTTTATGTGTACGTATGGTCCTTGCTGGGTATGGGGAGAGATGCGTTTATGTTGCATTGTTGGAAGTCGAGGGACTGGCGCTTCTCCATGAAATTACTCTCTGCCTGCTGATGTTAGAGGGTGAAAGTAATGCTTTTAATGCCTGGATACTTGGTGAAGCTTTATATAGAAATGGGAGTAGTAAGTTAAAAATCCTTTTTGGCCTATTTCAGCATTGTATGTAAAGAGTTCAGTGTAAAGTGTTCACATTCTACTTCTCTTGGGTTGCTTTCCTCCAGGACAGCTGGACCTCTGACATATCTGGGCATTTTGAAACTGAGCTGTCAATTGCAATGAAATCTCTTGAGGAGTTGTAACACACAACAGAAATGCCTGCCCTTTAAACAGTTACTAATATTAAACAATTTGTTCTTTTTTCTTTTTTTTTTTATTTCAGAGTGCTTTTTCCAAGTTTATACTGTGAAAGTCATGACAAACCTCAGTATATGTAAACATTCAAATTTTGGTGCATACTGCTGAGGTTAATGGTTTGCTGAAATGTTGAGATCAGGAACAGACAAGCATTTTTAATATAATACAAAAGCAAGCTTGTTTTGCTAAGACATTGCAGCTCTAGTAAAGACATTTATTGAGCTCCTTTCTGTTCTAAGGAAAAGGATATACTTTTCATAATGGTGGACGCTGTACATAAGTCATGAGATCACTCCTTTTGTGTTTTAACCATTCCTGTTGTTTACACTGCTTTGACAAAATCCAACAAAGCTCCTGTCAATGTGCCAAGAGAGAGATTTAATGAGTATTGCAACGTAAACGGAACTGGCGAAGCACAGAAGGTGCAGCTGTAAGAGCACAGCAGCTCTGAGGCTGGACCACGGTGCCAGCTCTCCGGGACGCTGGCTCCATCAGGGATGAGGACCACGTGCCTCCCCAAGAGTAGGAACAGGGCAAACGGGTACGAACGTAATCCTAAAGGCATCCCAGCCTACAAATATTATTTCTGCGCTGGGCTTCCTGAGCTAGATGTGGTTTCTAAGTATTTTCCGTCCGCAGTTTGTCGGATTTCGATAATAAAGCATTTGGTAAGCTATGTTTTTATACAGAACTGGGTATGTTAATTTACTGAAAACGCACATTAGGCAAGGAAAAAATAGTATTTCTAGGTGTCTTCCAATCATGTACAACTGATATGCACATAAATAAGAGTAATGGAGAGTGCACTTACACATGTGTTAGTGAGGAAAGGAAACACATAGTCTGTCCAAAAGAGGGAGGGAATGGACTTATAAAACGCAGTGATTTTAGTAAAGGCTAATACCTTTGCTAGCTTTGCACTTTTGTTAACAAGTTAGATAGTATTACACAAGTTTTTGGTCCTTAGCAGCAGAAGTTGTCTTATGTTACTTTGAATAAGTAATATATAAGTACTGTATGGTAAGCTGATGGTTACTTTGCCATAAGAACCAATTTTTCTTTGAGAAAGTGAGCTGTCTTAACCTCTGCTCTATGGATTGGGGAGAGAGGGAAATCAAGAGCCTGATTTTTTTTTTTTTTTTTTTTTTTTTTTTGTATTTTTCTTGATGAGTCCTCTCTGTAGAATGTATCGTGAAGGCTACTACTGCTCCTTTGGAGGTATAAATAGCTAAAGGAGAGAGAATTTGAGTGGTAACCTTGAGACAAAAAGTAGGAGCACAAGGCATGAATTAGGAGTGCAGAACTGTACCTATCACTGAAACTTAACAGAATTTTCAGGCATTAATGGAGAAGTAATCTCCTTCATACTTCTGAGGGACCTGTATGACAGCATGTACTATCTACAGCTGTATTCTTGGTGGAAACTGAACAATAAAGAAAACTGCACTGGAAAGGTACTGGTATTTTGTAAGAAATGATTGCATATTTAAAGGGCCTCCATTTGAAAACAATCATTTTTTCTTAAACATGGTGAAAACTTTGATTTAAATAGTAAAAATGTTGACCCTCTTTATAAATTAGGGCTACGTTATTTATAGGGAAGCTTATTTTGTTTCTTAGCATACACTTGCAGGTCTTGAATTGGTGTGCAGTGCTTGTTCCACTAATTAAGCCATTTTAAACAAAGATTTATCTTTAAATCTTTGCATGCACTGCTTTAGGGACCAAGTCCCTTAGAGTGTAAAACTGGGAGCCCTTCCAAGCCTGGGTCCACTAAAAGTGTAAGCTTGTAACAGTTCTTTGAGTTTACTGGAAGCTTAAATAGTAATTAAACCTTTCTTTCCCTTCACTTTCACCGTTAACTTAAGTGCACTTAATTATCCAGTTGTGAATGTGGAGACTTAAAATACAGAATCTAATGTATTTTACCTATTAGAATAATTGCAATCCATTTGAATAACATGGCCACTAAACACAATTTACATTGCAATACTTATACACCTAACGCGAGGACAACTATTACTGTATTTTTATTTGAAAGTGAGAATGGAGGCTACAGTTGTAGTTTCAGGAAGTCACAGTAGCTTATTCTGTACACTATATCGTTAATAGAATGCATTGCTACATACTTCAACCTAACTCTACAAAATTATAAAATACACTTTAAATGGTAGCGAGAAATAGGAGTTTGTTCTAAATCGGACACTTTTGTCTATCCTCTGCTTTAATTACCTTATCACACAGCGTGAACAAACCAAAACAATGGAAGTTCTAAACAAAGATGAATTTTGAGAAGCATGAAAAGTAAGGGGAGGTTCTCAAAGGCCAGTGTCATGGAACTAGTCTTGAGTTTCTGTTTCTCTTCTTAATAAAGCCCACAATCCCCTCTAAAAAGAAGCTTTTTTTTCTGAATGCCATTAAAAAAGCTTTGCGCTGCTTAATTTTTCTGCAATTTCTAATAGAAAACAAATTCAAGCATAGCAATGACTTGAACAGAACCTGATCAAAATTTCTGCATTTCTGCTTGTCTTTTTTTTAAAACATATTGTCTTAAAAATGTTGATTATTCTACAGATTTAATAGTAAGCAATAAAGACCTATACTGTGTTCCACTTTGCTAGGCAAAGCTTGCTGCCGATTTGTGACTTACAGCACTTGAGTTACTGTCACAGTTAGGTTTTTTTTCTCCTGCAGATTTCAAGAGCTTTGTGAAACCTTGCATAAGGTGTGGTGCCTTCTGCTAATAGCTGCATCTCAACAAATTTAGAAAGGACTCAGTGGTGAAAATATAGTTTAAAGCTCCCAAGGCTCGGTGATGCAAGACTTACATTCATAGAATGGTTTGGGTTGGAAGGGTCCTCAAATATCACAAAGTTCCAACCCCCTGCCCTGGGCAGGGACACCTCCCACTAGAGCAGGTTGCTCAAAGCCCCGTCCAGCCTGGCCTTGAACACTTCCAGGGATGGGGCATCCACAACTTCTCTGGGCAACCTCTTCCAGTGCCTCACCACCCTCACAGTAAACAATTTCTCCCTAATGTCTAATCTAAATGTCTCCTCTTTCAGTTTAAAACTATTACCTCTCGTCCTATCACTCCACTCCCTGATAAAGAACCCATCCCCATCTCTCCTGTAGGTCCCCTTTAGGTACCGGAAGGCTGCTCTAAGGTCTGCCTGGAGCCTTCTCTTCTCCAGGCTGAACAACCCCAACTCTCTCAGCCTGTCTTCATAGGAGAGGTGCTCCAGCCCTCTGATCTGTTCATTGTTAAAAGGAGGATGAGACTGGTTATTAACTCTTGGATACTAAAGAACTAGTGAAATTTTTATGTCACCTCCTGAAATGTCAAGGGATGCTCTTTAAAGAAACCACACAATGCAGCTTGTGATATTTCTAAGTATCAAAGTCCAGGAGATGAAAACTCGGTTCATCTCTGGTTTAAATATTTAAAATGAACTATGTATTTAGTAATTTAATTCAGAAGCTGTATACTTATAAATGAAACAGTCTCAAAAAGAACTTAGTAACTGGGTGAGGGGTTTTAAATCTAACACATCTTTTGTGCACAGTGAGAGAAAAGGTCAGCAGCAGAATAATGTATCTGGTTACAGGTAGTTTAATGAAGTTTTATTGTCAAAGTAGGGCAGGAACTATTTCATTACAAGGGACATACAAGCAAACAGATTTAAAGACTACCTTACATGCTATTATAAATCACAGCAATATATTTTAGAACATGTGAACCATTAGAAAATAGTACTTTGGTTGCCAAAAACTGAGTCTCTCAGGCATTTCTTCTGCTGAACAGAAAAGCTCAGACATGTGCAGTGAGTTTATGCATCTGTATGTGGCACTGTAGGATGCTGAACATGGTCCAGTGTTGCTTCAGGATCAGAGTCTTCTCATAGCTATGTGTTTCCAGGACTCTCAATAACCAATTTCTGCGTGGAATACAGCTGGCCAATAGTAACCTGAAATAAAATAAAAATATCAGAAATCTTGAACTGGAAGGTAAACAGGTAATAATTTTAGCTTCACAAGAGAGACTGAAAACACACCAAGAACTGAGTAGCCCATATATTAAGATTTTTCATAATGACGTTTTTCTTTCTATGAGCACTTTTTTGGTAAATAACACTGCTATCAGCCTAGACCTTAAGAAAAATAACTGATACATAAAAGATCTGCATATATAATATCTTGAAACTATGACATTGAGGAATACTGTTCAAAGGTTCATATTAAAAGTTAACATTAGAAGTAACTACAGAGGGAAAAGCAAACAGGCTGTATGTTTAGAAAAATGAAAGATGAATATAATGAAAAATAGAAGGATGCATACAGTCAGCAGATATTTCTTGTTACGCTTTTTGGGTGGACAGCCTAGATATAAATTGCACGGTACGGTATTGTTTTCCAGTTCCTCTGGAAACCTAATTTAATTTGTCTTACAAATGGTGAAAACAGTTACACATTTATTTCAGCAGTAACATTTTACACACACTGGAGCTGACCTCTTGTTTATGAGATGGTATTGGCACCTCATATATTTGTGCTTTCCAGTGCAATGAGGAAATTAAAAGTGACAAAAATGCAACACTGATGCTTTGATTCCTCTGGTTTAGTACTTTATAGTCCGCATTGTAGCATTGGTAAATTGTAGTCAGATTGCAGTTGGTGATACACACAGCTCTTTGCTTAACAGTTGAGATGTGGAAGGAAGATGTTTCATGCAAGTCCGCTAATGTAAATAGGAGAAGACAACACTTATTTTAAAAGTATGGATTTTGGAGTCTAATTTTTAATATCTATTATGCCCTTTCTCACCCCTACTTTCTGCCCAAAGCCTGGGTACACAGTAGCTCTGTGTCTTTTTCACAAAAAAAAATAATTAAAAAATCATGTATTTAATTATGGAATTAGGACAAAAAAGGCTAGATGCTTAATTACACTAAGCACAATAGATTTAGTAGAATGTAATACTGCACAAACTAAGTCTGACAGCAACTTAGGCTCTCAAAGTAGTTAAAAAATAGAGAAAGAAATGATTCAGTATTTTTCATTTACCATTTTTGAGGGGAAAAATCCTGGCAGCTCTTAAATAAAAATTTCTCATCTATGCCCACACTCACATAAAACGCAAATAATATTGCCTTTTAGGAAATGAACTATTTCATCTTCATAAACAGCCTTGTCTGAAACTTGTAACGCTTTGATTTTAATCCTGAAATATTTATTACAAGGGTGGATTTATGGAGCCATTCTTAAAGGGACAGAAGTTCTCCTTGCCAGCAACTATTCCCTCTTTTGGCACTTTGAACTAAGTCAGTAACAGCACACGAACAACCCTGATCACTTTTGAAATGACTTATGAAGTATGTTTGCATACAGAATATTTGAAACAAAGGCCATACACGACTGCGGCATGTGTTACCAACACAACTTTTAAGCTGTCAACAAGTGTTACTTATCAAAGAGAACTCGCTGCTCCGGGTTGTGTGGCAGGCTGTGCACTTTAGTCGCTGCCTTACCACAAACCACGCTGTAGCACTTAATTTTTGTATACTGTGTTTCGGAGCCCAAAGAATCTTTAATCCTTTCCCACACAGTAGAGCAAATTTAATGGGAGGCTCAGAGGGATTACAAAAATGCTGAAACCTGAATTGCATTTTTTTTTTTTCTCCGCCAACTGGGGAGATGGATGAGGCTGAGTACGTGACTTCTCAGTCAATCATATTCAGCCGGGGCAGACGGGTTTGTAGGAGAAAGGTACGAGCTGTTGTTTGCTGTCCCTGTGCCGAGAGGTGGTATTATCTACCGCCGTCCATCTTGACTCGAAGGCAATAAAGCCATAGATGTGTGTGTTGAGCTGCTTCCTTCTTAAACCACAGGCGTGCAGGCGTGTTTCAGGGAGGGCAGAGCCCCCGGTGCCGTGCTTGCCTGCTCTGCTGCCTCCCTTCCAGAAGCCGTGCCACGACATTTTAAGCTGAACTTTGAAACGTAAGGATTTTTTCTTTTTTTTTTAAACCGCTAGCCTTGAATTTCTGACATTATGATCAAGCCTTTCCCATGCACTTCAGACAAAACAAATAGACCTTCCGTTTATAGCTGCTGAAAAATTCACATCCATAAACATCCACTGCCTCAGCAGAAAGACCGCACCGGTGTTTACACACTGACACTCATTAACCCTCTGAATCAAAGCAGTGTTCTCACAGCGTCCTCGCCACTTAGGCAGCAAGCATCACCGTGGATCGTCCTCCCAAATGAAAGACCGCAGTGCCCCTCTCTTGTGTTCTTTTTTCATCACGTGTGTTTGCAGCTTATACACCACATGTAATTTACTCTTCCGGTGGGTGGCTGGCGGCCAGTGCAGAGGTCAGTGGCAGGCTATTTTCATTAATCACAGGAAGCTTTTGTGGAAAAAGGCTCCACCATTTGCTCAGCAACTCTTGTCACCCAGAATTTCATTTACCTCTCTAAGATAACACGTTGCAATTAAATTCTGCAGGAAAGAATGTACAATAAAGAACCACTTTGTCATCAGGAGAAGAGAATCATTAGAAATATAAAGGCTGCTTTTCAGATCTTAGTGAATTACTGATGTTTAAATTCTGCCTGCAAAATTATGTACTTCAAAAGTAAGTCTGACAAGTTCAGCCCTCAAAACCTGACAACTTGTCCTTGTTCAAAGATTTAGTACAGTTCAATATGGTCAGCTTTTTCTCGTGAACTTGCCTTCCATCTGAATCCAGGACAAGACTTAGGGCTTCAGAATTTATCAGCAGATGTGAGTCAGTCAACAAGTGGTGAAAAAAGACATTATTGAATGGTAAACACTGGTTCATCTTGTAAGCCAACCACTCTCTCATTTGGTGGTTGTGTGTTCATTTGGAAATAGCACTTCTCCTTGCTCGTGGCTGGCAGCAGTGTCACAGGAAGAAGCTACTTCATGAAATCTTTCACAGCTATCAAGAAAAAAGTCAGTAAGAGACATTTTTCCCCAGATAGCAGAATCTCAGAGGTGTGTTATGGTGAGGTGTAATAAGATTTAAACAGTTGAATAAGTAGAATTAAATACTGAAAAAAATCCATCAAACCCAACGTCCTGAAGACATTAGAAGAATGTGCTATCATCTTAAAAACTCAACAAATCCAGTTAAATTGCCCGCTCTGAACTCTGCCCTTTCAAACGTTCTATGGCTGGCCAGTGCCTGACTCTCAAGGACCCCTGTGGCTGGTGAGCAGGTTATGTGTAGCTTCCATGCCAATCCATGCAATAGATACAACTGCAAGGGGACAGTGGTGAACTGGGAGGTAGCCTGAATCGTAGGAGCTGCCTTCCTATCAGACACAGCCACACGTGGAGCAGATCCTGCAGACCCGTTGCCACCCCTTGCAAAATAATGCTACTATCAAAATACTCATCTTCTTCAGGTTTTGAAGGTACCTGGCACATCTTATAGTTCTTATCCATATGAAGTTTTCACTTTGCAGCTCAGAGTTGAGGGAGAAGTGACTGCTCCTATTTCTGCAGGGCTGAAAACAAGCTGATTGGCTTTTAAAAATTTGTCTGTCTTGCTGCAAAGGTAACCTTACAAAGATGACAGACAGTGGGTCGCGGGACAGCAAGCAGTGACTGATTATGGGCTTAAACAGCCAGGTAAAGGTTTGATATGACACACATCCAAGGAAGAAGCAGATCTGCAGAGATAACTCTTTGACCCTGTGTGATCTTTGCATGCTTTCAGCATCCCGGTGACCTCTAGGCTCCCACCTCTCCTCTCTTCCTAATTGTTACCTGCTAACGTATTTCAGCATCTTGCCTTTTCTCTTTCATTTACATATAAAACTTGTAAATCCACAGAGCAACTTGAACTCTTTGGAGAGCCAAACGCAGAAGAAGCAGGTCTTCTAAAGAGTCAGTCCCGTGTGGGTAAAGGGAAGAAAATTAATAGAGGCTGATCTCAGCATGCAGAAGAGAGAAATCACTCAGGATGCTGAGTGTGGCAAGGAAAGAAATACAAAACATTAGTACTTGAAAATCGAGAGACAAAGACATGGATAACATTGTGCTGAGTATGGTATAACAGGTACTCTAGTAATGCTGAGACATTTGATATGTAAATGCCCAAACCATTCACAGAGGACCCTATGTTTCGTAGCAACTACATAAGCAGAATTCATCAAAGCCAGTGGGAGCGCCTGCCTTACTTTTGTCAGTAGTATAATACAACAGCCACTGTCACAAAACACACATTCTATGTCCAGGAAAATACTGTAATGTTGGTGTATCACAGATAAACTAACTCCATGATACATATAAAGACTAAATTGTCATTATAAAAGGAAAATATTTCACTCCTTAGTGTTCTCTTGGAACACTAATTCTGAGAGACTTTTGGAATGAAACACTGAAGAAAATGAAGGCCTTATAGACAGATATAACCAAATAATAAATATGCTTACTGAGAAGTGTGATAAAGCAATTTCCTAGCACTAATAGGCTTTCATACTGTGAACTACTGCAGAACTAAAATGAGCTGCCACTTTATACTCAACAACAGTCATAATTTACATTTTTTTGTACATTTGTACAAATTTGTATTTGAAGTCAGATGCTAGAAATGCAATGTACTGAAAGAATCAACTTTACCCTTACTTCTCTTGTAAACTGGGGGATGTGGCTGCCAGGAAGAGCTGCAAAACAGTTATACAAGGATGTATGTGGAGTGTTTGTAGGTTAATGTCTTTCAGAAGATTACTTATCCACCTGTGCCTTTCACCCCCACCCCTCTTTTTTTTTTTTTTTTTTTTAAATAA